CCTGCTGTTTCCTTTTCTATTTACCATAAAATTTCCTGTTGTTTTCCCCTTCCCTTCCCCCCCATTTCACTATTTTAAAGTCCTAGTGACCACACTAGTTCCAGATTGATTCAGGTGGAGACTGTCCCAACGGTGCAGATTCCTCCTGTTCCAAAATTGATGCCAATGTCCCAAATGAAATCCCTCTTTCCCACACCACTCCTTTAGCCATGTGCTTACTTCCCTAATTTTCTTATCCCCATGCCAATATGCTTGTGGCTCAGGTAGTAATCCAGAGATTATAACCCTTGAGGATCTGTTCCTTAATTTCACTCCTAGTGCTTAATTATCCCTAAATAGGTCATCCTTCCTAGCCTTGCCTATGTTATTTGTCCCAATGTGGACCCTTCACCTCCCGCTCCAGTATCCTTTCAAGCCGGTCAGAGATGTCCCTTACCCTGGCACCGGGCAGGCAACAAACCATGTGGGACTCTCGATCCTGCTTGCAAAGAATGCTATCCATCCCCCTAATTATAGAGTCTCCTACAACTACCATTTGTCTTTTTGCTCTCCCTACTTGAATGGCCTCCTGCACCATGGTGCAATAGTCAGTTGGCTCATCCTCCCTACAGCCCTTTTCCTCATCCTCACAGGGAGAAAGTACCTCATACCTGTTGGACAAAGGTCAAGAGCTGAGGCTCATCTGTTCCTGAATTCAGGATCCCCCTACCTGCCTCATTTGCAAACACACCCTGCTGTTCCTGATCACTGACTGAATTTGAAGTACTTAATCTACCAAGTGCGACCACCTCTTGAAATAAAGCGTCCAGGTAATTCTCCCCCTCCCAGATGTACTGCAGTGTTTGAAGCTCAGATTCCACTCATCAATTCTGAGCTGAAGTTCTTCCAGCAGCCAACACTTACTGCAGATGTGGTCACTGCAGCTCGCAATGGGATCAGCCAGCTCCCATATCATACAGCTACAGTATATCACCTGTCCAGCCATCTTTACTTGGTTAATTAAGTTAGCTAGTTAATTTATTTATTAGTTTTGGAGTGTTCTTTCTACATTTAGGGCAGATTTCCTGCCAGCCAAATCAGATCACAGTTCTTCTGTGATGTCACCTTTCCAGTTAGGTTTTGGTTACTCTAGGTCCTCCTCGCTCCGACTCCGCTTCTGGAAACAAGGCTGCGAATCCCTAAGCCAAGTTAGGTTTATACTAACCATGTTCCGGGTGCTCCTCCCTCCGACTCCGCTCCTGGAAATATGGCTTTTGTATAAAATATTAATACTATAAAGAACAATTTTTCCTCAGTTAAAATAGCAGTAAAGCAGTGTACTTTCTTTACCTCCCCAAGATATCAGGGAATAGAAGATAACAGTTTTCCACCTTACTCACAATAATAACTATATGGAAAATAAAACAAACTCTTCAGTGCTGTATTTGATGGTAACAACTATGAAAATTGTTAATCAACGCAGCAGGAAAAAGATCCAAGTCTAACTGTTTCTGTTTCATGCCACTGTTCACAAACAAGCTGCATACCTAAGCAACCTGTACATAGAGGGCTGATTATAATATGCACTACTGATATAAATCTAATTTTTAACTCCTCCACAGAAATGATCATCCAAACCACATCAGAATGACAGGCACCCGATTGTCCAAGGTGGTTGAGCCTCATTCTAAGCCAACTGTTGGAACTGCTAGAACTGGAGTACAGCCAAACGAGTGTTGAGACAATAAACACTCTCAGAATAAATTCCACATGAGTTCAACTAATCAACCTTCCAATGATAAGAGGCATGTGGTTTTATGTTAGTATTTCATAGTACTATGCTCTATTCACTTCCATCAGCTGTAATATGATCTGCACATCTCCAACTGCTTTTCCATCAAGATGACAAAATAACCAAGTACAGGCTGGATGAATGAAAGCATTGCACATGCTTCTAGGAGCTAATAAAGAACAAGGAAACAGCTCAATTATTATTTTCTTAACTAATGTTTTGTTACAAGGTGCTGTGTGGATAAGGAATGACCAGTAGGTGTTCATTCTGAAATCCTAACTGCTTATGCTGCACTTACACCTATCTCACAAAAAGTAGTATCTTCTGGCAAAATTTGCAAATTTTATTAATAGCAGTTCAATATATTTCAACATAAATGCACACACAAGTCAAAGGAAAGTATGTTCAGCTTGAACTATGTCACTTTTCCACAAGACAGCATAATCAAAGCAAAATGGTGACATAATCTTTTTGTTATTACTGTTTGAGACCACTAATATGTGGGCATGATATATAACAAAGAGATTGAACAGCCTGTGTTAATGCAAACAATCAATCTTGCTAGTAAACAAGTCTTGCAAAAGTTGTATTAAAAAGGATGGCAGTTAAGCCACAAGATGGGGAAATGTTTCAGAGATAGTAGGAACTGCAGATTCTGGAGAATCTGAGATAACAAGGTGTAGAGCTGGATGAACACAGCAGGCCAAGCAGCATCAGAGGAGCAGGAAAGCTGACA